ATATATAATGTATGGAGGTCATTGACAGAATCAAAAAGTGGTTGCCTGGAGAAACAATTCTTACAGGTTTCATTGTTTAGAGTGACGCGACATCTAGTGGTGAAATATGTGGTTTATGCAATTTATATATAGCAACTGGCAACTGCATTGTAAATTCTTTGTGACAGTGCAGGATAAAAAAAAAGTAATTTGTGTGTATAGGTCTTAAATTAGACAAGTGCAAGTAAGTTAACTGTGATGTAAAGTTTCTTTTAAAACAGCATGTAAAGTGCTAGGATATAATGGGTAATTTGCTGGATCTGTGATGAGAATAATTAGCTTTAATGTCTGGTACAGACTGTGTATTAATTAGCAAATCATAGTGCTTGTGACTCTAACATTTCATTCAGATTTAAATGTCAGAGCTAGCAACATAATGACACACAATGTAAGAGAAATGTATGCACAATGAGAACATTTGAGAGGAAATAGGACTTGGAGAAGTGCTTATTTTATTTCTAGGATTTGGTGAAATAAAATAAAGAAATGTTCGAATAGGAAATATTTTTAAACATTGCCAATTATTATATACAAGGATGATACCTTGTGTTTAGATACATCCACGGGAATGTCTTAATTAAACTTGCTTGTACTGTGCTGTCAGATGTCATTCTCAGTTGTAAACTAGACTTGAGCACTGTTTTTCCTAACAAAGGGTTAAAGATCTAGAAGCATTGTATATTAATAAGGCGGAAGCTCAGAGTGCCCCAAAGCTTTCTGTCACTTTGAAATTGTAGAGAGATACGTACAGTCTGTCGTCTGTCCAAAAACCTGCTCAAAAGAGTTGTTTAAACTTTAAGAAATATTTTTTTAATTATGCTATGTAAATAGGAACACATAAACAAGCATATAGTGGGAGTTTTCCAAAATTTGACTGTTAAAGGGGAAATACACTTTAAACCATATCTTCCAACAAATGGCAGACAACTGACAATTTAGAATAAAGCTGACCATACACTGTTAGCATATCTAAAAGCGAGTGGCCCTGCAAGCTCGACAAAAGTCAGCCAAAAGACAGCCAATCAGCCCAGCAGGGGATTACTCCCAGGGCTGGCCTTAGGGGTGTGCGAGCTGTGCGGCTGCAAAGGGCGCCATGGCAACAAAGGCGTCAGACGGCAGACACAGCTCGTCCTCGGGGCAGCTTCTCCCCTCCTCACCGCTGGCCATCCGACATGACAGCGCTCCCTCGTTTGCCCTGCGGGGGGTCGAGGGCGCAGGAGGTAGCGCTGCCTGCTGTCAGGATGGCCGAGCGGTGAGGGGGAGAGAAGCCGTGCCCGCAGCTGTCAGGATGGCCGAGCGTGGAGGAGATCGGAGCCGCTGTCATCCTGTCAGTTTCAGGATGACAGCGGCTCTGTGCGTGGCAGAGTGGGGGATTGGTAATTAGTCCAAGACTAAAAATTCGTTTCAGATGAAATGAACAAAAACTAAAAACGTTTCATTCGTTTCATCAAACAAAACAAATTTATATGCTATTTTGGATTCAGCCATTGGCGTGTTCTGGAGGCAGGGCACATGACGTCATATAACACCGCACGCATGTGTTGGGCACCACCATCTTGGTGTATATCTAGGTATACACCAAGATGGTGGGGCCAATATAGGCGTGTGACGTCACCTGACGCCACGCATGCATGGCGTCATGTAACATCATGCTCCCGCCTCCATGATGATGGCACACATTCACAGAACACGCCGGGGGCCAACATGGCCGCCGCACATTCTCAAACAATTTATTATGTGCCGGAATAAATTTTTCGTATATTCGGACATATAGTAATTCATTAATTTTACATGTAGTCTAGGTTTTGTATCCTGTTTTTTTATTTTTCTAGATACACTTACTTGAAAAAAGGGTCGGCATGACAACCTGAGACTTTATTTTTATAGACTCTATTTTAGTTTGACATTTATTGTTTACCTTCTGTTTTATTTGATGAGAATACTTATATTGTGCTACAAGTTTAATACCTTTAAATATAAGTTTTATTTTTATCATACTTTTTAATATGTTTCTTTGGGGCTTAACAGAATAGGAGTCTTTAAATGGTGCGGATATTGGAAAAAATGGGTGTTGTTACTGGGGGTGTGGCCACTGAGGGGTGTGGCCACTGAGGGGTGTGGCCACCGAGGGGTGTGGTCACCGAGGGGCGCTGTAGAGCTTTCTCGCACAGGGCACCTAAAGGCCTAAGGCCGGCCCTGATTACTCCATTCACCTCTGTTTAGCGTGGATAAACATATCTATTGGATTCCTTTCGTTCAGCCCACAGCCTGAATAAAAAAATCTATTACTGTATAGCCAGCAATACCTGAGCTGTGAGCACCAAGTAGAAAGCATAAAAGGTCTGCCTTGCTGAAATTTGTACATGTTCCATAGACAAAGTCCAATTTCTGTTCCGATAATTTACTCTAATGTAATCACCTGTTGGACATAGACAAACTGTACTTCACTTTATATTTCATACATTCTGTTTATCTTTGCATCACCTGTAACTATGCATAAATTCTTCTAATAAACGATATTGCTAAAAAAAAAAAAAAGGCCTGCCCAATTCATCCCAGCCATTAGACTAACTACAGTCCACTGAGGACATTATTCATATAGCATTTGACAAGGTAAACCCCAGCAAAAAAGCTGTGACGATATAGGAAACAGGGAGGGAGGAACTTGTCTTGCAGATGCCATAGCCTCAAAGGAGGTACACCCACCCCTTGCACACAGGTATAAATAGCCACGCCTGTTTCCATAAAATTACAGCAGTACTGTACTATTTACACATTTATTGAGGCTGGAAGCATAGTGAAGAGCGAGTAAGAGAGCTGCAGCTCCTCTACACCAAAGCCACAGTGTTGTTTGCCCGCCCCTCTCTTCCCTTGCCCTTTCACAGAATTCTAAAGTAAATGTTTCTATTGCTTTTATCGTGTAGAGCAAAGAAGTGAATAGTATTAGTTTTCCTCCACTGTGAGAGGTTACAAAAAGTATTATGACCTTTTCAACTCTAGTTCATCCATATCAGTTAGTGAGAGTGCTTTGAGAATGTGTCAGTTTTACTGCTGTTCATTTAACTAATATTGTTTAATTGATTCAATTTCAGTTACGACAATGAAGGCCGCTTGACCAATGTAACCCGTCCAACTGGCGTTGTTACCAGTCTCCACAGAGAGATGGAAAAATCTATTACTATTGACATAGAAAATTCCAACCGGGATGATGATGTCACTGTTATAACCAACCTGTCTTCAGTTGAGGCATCGTATACTGTTGTACAAGGTAATTTGCCATCTATGAATACTCATCACTCTCTGTTTCATTCCTCTTTTTAGTATGTTTCAGGCAGTTACACTGTCAAAATCTGTTATTGGTGTATCTGTTCATCTCCATGTAAAACACTTTTATCCTGAATACAATGCTTCAATTATCAGAGAGAGGGGTCAATTTTCTTAAGGACTACTATAAACTGTTCACTTAACAAAGGCAAGGGTCACCTTAAAAAAAGTTCACTCAGCTTAGTAAATTCGGTGCAGCAGTGTTCATTTTAATGAACCAGTCATGGGCGATCAAAAATCTTGTCTTTTTAAATTTCCCTCACACTTGATCAGATATTTAGAGAGAATACAGGAGCCATTCATTTTACTAAGCAAACTGCCTCTACTGCTTTAGTAAATTCATGCCACTGACAGTGTTTCATTGCAGTCAGGCTTGTGTACCATTATTAACATTACCCTGTTTTAACCATGATGTCTAAAAATCGGAATATTAAGGAAAGCTTTGATGTTAAAGAAAAAAATTCTTATAAAAAAAGGCTACAGCTATGTACTATAAAATGTCTTTACTTACAGATTTTATTGCACTATAGGAATCACTACTCAAATCCAAGTTTCTGACTATTGACTGTTATCAAAGGGGCTAGATTATAAGAATTGTTATCATAAAAAAATGCTATATTGTGAGGTTAGCATATGTTTTGTTAGTATGTAGTTTAATAATTCCCTTGCCATTGTAATTTTTCTCCTCATCTACATGCAGTTCAACCTTTTCAACAAAAGTGACAGTGACATGGGTGGAGACAAACTGTGACACTGCTGGAAATGCTTGCAAAATTGCAGCATTTTGTACAGAAAGATTTAAACCATTGGAATGAAAGGTAAATGCAGAAAGCTTCCTCTTATATTTGGTCCCAGCCCCTGTCATTGTCACTTTTGTTGGTCAGGTTGGTCTGCATATCAATGTGGAAATTTTTTCCCCATATAA